CAATTCAAATTATTTGTTGAATTTTTGCACTTAACGCGAAATCGAAAATCTTGAACATATCTCGTTTTATTCTCCTGTATGTGCTCTATAAAATTATGCATGAATTGCCTGGATTCACTTCGGGCAATTCATACATAATGTTGTAGAGCACGTCCAGGAGAATGGGCAAGAAATTCACATTTCTGAACATGTATCAAATGAAAATCCCACTTCCGTCAATTGGCGAACTGTCACTCCGTTCGTACTTGGCGAAGTGTCTGTATACCATATTTTATGGGTTTACGACAATTTACTTCACGACAGTGTGCCACTCCGACAATTTGCGTGTGCCTCATCATTCTGTAGCATGGTCTGTTAAAGGACCTATCATACTTGTAACGAATCTGTCATAGTGAGAACACATAATGTTTTGTGAGCGATATGATGTTGCCTTCTTGAAATGAGTGTTTGCTCATCTCTTTTTATTGATGATAATCGAGTTGGACTTGTCGTAGATGCATTTGTCGGTTATGTTGTTTTATTGATAAGGGTAATATTTGTCTTATCACATTGATAATATGTTTGTCATTGCAGTCAGTTTATTGTAATGTATGGAATAAGCAGCCGCAGCGTTATTCACTCATTCAGTGCAGATAGTAACTGTACGGTGCGTTGTTAACATCACTTTTGTGGTACTGATTTGCTATCAGCGCCACAAAACTGATGTTTATCAGTGCACCATGTAGTTATCATCTTCATCTTCTGTTCATTACTTTTATGGATCGCCACTCTCCTCGAGTGACCTTTTACCACATTATCCGTGAAGTCTATCATGGGAATGCGCTTTATTTAGTCCGAAGGAGTGTCGAACAAAAACTAGAATTAATCTTATTGTTGAGCAAACTTTATGGAAATGAACAGAGCCCAGTAGCGACGCAAGTCTGCTAGTTTCTTTGATTAAATCTGTAAGTGTCTAGTTGTATTGATCAGTGTGGTTGATGCTTTATGCAACTAGAATTCAAATAATGAATGTCGAAATAGGTTGATTATTCATATATGAACCCGAAATTTATCGTATTCGTAAGCAGATGTTTTTCGAAATTGCAATTAATCTTTGCAGTGCTGTCTGAATAGCGGTTTTCCCCTTCAAGCGGTTGTCCTCAACAACCCTAAATGTGTCCATATTTGAGAGTTGAGGGTGATCAGTCGAATACGAACAGTGTCAACTGCTGAAGTAGTTACGGTCTGTCTGTCTGTTCAATTCAGATTCGTACTTCTGTTAAAGGACCTATCATACTTGTAACGAATCTGTCATAGTAAGAACTCATAATGTTTTGTGAGCGATATGATGTTGCCTTCTTGAAATGAGTGTTTGCTCATCTCTTTTTATTGATGATAATCGGAACTGTTCAGTATTACATCACTGATACCTTATAAAACTGTTAGTTGAATGTTGAATAGACGTGATGATGTTTAAAAATGTTTTCGACGAAATATCAAATGATGGTTCGAGAAAGAGTTGACAAAGTATTAAGTTAATGTGGTGATTGATAAATTGCAGATGTTGAACGATCGTATAAGTGTTCTGATACTGGGTATATCGTTGATATTATCGCTAAGGGATATTTATGGACATACGAAAGAAAGTGGTGATAGGAGTGATAATAATGTAGACGATGAGGCAGCATTCAGCAAAGAGTTTGGTGATGAAGAGATACGAAATGAAGAAGACCAGATTGAAAATGATCCCGAACAAGAGATACGCGTTCGAAAGCCATCCTCGCAGTTCACCGCACCACCCACCCTCAAAAACTTACCTAACATGAAATTTCTGTTTTGGTATGTTTGTTCTGAGATTCATTTCGATTAATCATTCATTTGAACATTTTCTTTTTTGTCATTTTTTCACTCGTTTACTCGCAAATTTTATTATGAAGTGAGGAGTGAATAAAACATTCTAGACGACTACACAGAATTGACCTGATCAGAAGATAACGAATCGATGTTCAATTCATGACCTAGGTGATCGATTGAACCATCTCTGCGTATAAAAAGTGATAAACACAAGTGATCATGGCTGGAATAGAAATGATAAAAATTTGTTGTGTTTGGGTTAATGAATATAAGTATCGAAAGAAAATGAATCATTTTTAGTGTATCGTGTGGTTACCGACAAGCATTTGATGAATTTTCAAAAATGATTCATGAGAAATATCCGTCAATGCAAATCGATGGCGCTAATTATTCACCAGTTGCTTGGAAATCCATTATTGCACAGGTAGATCACCGTAATGATCAGTCGAGAAGTGACTTTGCATTGATCAGTCAAATATGTTATCTGGATTATTTTTAATATAAGAAGCAAATGAAGTCAAATTTTGCTCGAAAGTGGTAAAGATTTAGTTGGATCTAGCAACGTAATTGATCGATAATCGGTGCAATTAATTCAGTTCGTCGGATTGTCGAAGATAGCAATAATTGTATTGATAGTGATGGGTCGTGATCCGTTCCAGTCGATTGGTCAGCCCACTCCAACAATATTCGCTTGGGCTCTTAACAACAAATTATCGTCATGCATGATGATTTTCCTCTTGTCGAATGCTGTCGAGAGTTCGTTTTCACCGTTAATGGTTTCATTACTCCTGTTTTAATTAATCAGTTATTTCCGTTGTTGCTATCCATTTTGATAAAAACGTTAAAAAGTGATGCAATTAAGGTTCGATGATGTCGACGGGCGCATTTGAAATCTATCTCGGTGATGAATTGATATGGTCTAAACTTGAGAGTGGTCGTGTTCCGTCACCCACCGAACTGATTCAGATTATCGATCAACATATGGAACTGAGTGGTGCTAAAGTAAGATTTATTGCTCTTTTGGAACATATATCAGTCATCTCACAAAAGCCTTTAAAAGACAAGGATCAATTTTTTTTCGAAAAAAAAACTTGGTTTGTTAGGAATAAAATTGCATTCAGTTATTTTCAAATACTTATCCGCATTGACATCAGTTTTTAAACTTTCAATACTTTCATATTTTTCAGATCGATAATTGACTGTCTTTTGAATATAAACGAATAATTTTCAGGTTTCCGAAACATTTTCTTCATTTGAATAATCGATGATGATATTACTTGGCGAGCTATAAATATCTTCTTCTGTATCGCACAGCATTCTTTCAGTATTTATTCTGTTCATTTCACCACCTCATGTCGGAAATATTCATTCTCTCGTCGTTAAACAATGCTCAATTTTAATGAATCAGTTGCATGAGTATGATCTTAATGTGAATAATATGCATTCATTATAATATGTGAATGATTAAGCTTGTAATTCACTGATGATTTCCCACTGCACTGGAATGAATGAGTAAACGATTGAATAGCGATGTGTGTATCGCAGGCAAATCCATTGTTATTGAGTCAGTCCACTTTACTTATTGATCACTTCTTTGCATCGCATTTTTGCTTTGTTTGTTCGTTTATTTGTTTGTTGATAGTTTATGGATTGAACATGTGATTATAATAAGATCACGGCTACGATTATGATAAATCAGTTGGTTTTGTTGCTATAAACAGTTAAAAAATTCGTGTCAAATTTATTTATGGCATTCCGTGTTTAGTTAAAAATATGTTTTTGTGTATTTGTGCATGCGTTATTGATGTTCACCGGTAAATTATAGTGGTGATATAAATGAGATTATGAAACACTTTATTGTTAATGTTCACTTGATTGTTACACTTTAGTTTAATAACAATTTAGAACAAATGTGATATTGCTTTGTTTGTGTGCACCCGTAAGCTAAAGCGGTTATCTTGAGTGACTGTAGAGATGTACATCGATTAGTACCAGGAGTACTCGCACTCCTTAGGGGAGTGAGGCAGTATTCCAGGAGGTGCGAATGAACATATCCTTTTCTATACCTTAAAGGGGCGACGGCGGATTTCAACCCCTACATGTGTGTAAGGTGGACTTTAACTTATGGGCTTTTAAAAAGGCTGAAACATGCTGTAATGGTGTACACTTATCCACTCGCTGAAGTGAATGAAAGATGTAGAGTGGATGTTATGAGGGGCGCGAGGACATTTCAACTATTGTTATACGAGGTGCAAGGACACCCTAAAATTTTTTATAGGGTGTCGGGGAAAGGTTGAGAACCACTGGCATAATGGGTTCGCTCATGCTGAAGCTCGTTTGGCTGAATGTTTAGTTTCTGCAAGAGGCGTTTGCACTATTTATTTGTTGATTAAGGTAACCAGCTTGAAGGAAACATGATCCGATTACTTTTATTGATCTTCACTCATCCAATAAACATCTATTTCTCTCCATATGGATTTCCTACAATCATGGATCATATTCAGTCCATCTAAATAAATAGTGATGCAAATAATAACGAAATCACAATCACTTATCATAAATTTCACTTCGTTTGCATTTCGTTATTAAACAATCTCAAAACAAAACAATTGCATATGCAACAAATCAAAACCTCTGTGATATCGCAAATACTCTCTCTATCACATCAAAACAACATATTCTATCCACGTCTCTGATTAAAAATGACCGTAATTAATGCGCATTGATAGATGTCTGCAGTTGACCGTTGCAAACGTGGATTATCATTCACGGTTGTCGACAACAGTTAGTGCAACGCACAGAAATAAAATCACAATGACTTCCATTTGCAGTCGCTTCAATTTCTGTACCGTTGCAACTGTCACTCATTCGAACAATCAATAGCTGTCTATGATCGTCTAAAGCAGTAAACGAACGAACAATCGTATGTGTGTCGGCAAATCTTATCAATGATAATCAGTAAATATAATAATAATAAAGCAACTTCATATACATCAAACATTAACTGATCAACTCTTCAATACATCAACTAATACGTATGCATCGCAAATTCACCTTTTCAAAAGAGTTAATTAAAACGAGAACGACCGCATACTGCATGTGAGCTTAATTGAGACAAGAACTGAATGACGGACGATACCTGAAATCGAATTACTGGCTGACGATAACAACCGAGTTTATTTCATCTCGAATTCTCTCACCTCCAACATATTCACTCAGCACTTCAATTCGTTTACATTTTCAATCCTATCAATGTTTGCAATAATAAAAGTGTTTTCACGACACACAACACCAAAGCTGTTCCGATTTCTGAAATAAGCCCAGCAATAAGGCCAATCTTATGCACACACACGCTTAAGCATCCGTTTCAACAACGCACTTTTGTTACTATGAATTTATTCGATGAACTTACTCACAGTTCACCGGAATAAAAATATTAATTTAACTCAGTTATGAACCAGTTTCGCATCTATCAACATTTACGCGTTCTTTTTCAAACTCACGATCAGTGAAGCTCAGTATTGCAAAACAATCCACCCCATGAACTGTAACAATAAAATATTAATGAAGTCAATAACACACCAATCAATTAACTCATATAAAATTTACAAAGTAAGAGTGATGATACGAACGAATCAATAAAACAATAAAAATAATAATAACAATAATACTTTCATATATAATATACCAAACAAACAGACAAACAAAATTAATGATGCAGCAAATAATACAAGAACTTAGGCTTTCATATCCTGAATCTGCTTAATCAAATAAGCCTTCTCATCGTTGAATTGTTCATCTTCTGTACGATCCGTATGGAAATTTGTCAAAAATTCAACCAATTTTTCTCTGTTCCTTAGCAAAATTTCTGCGATCGCTTTGGGTTTGTTTGGATTCGCAACGAATACCTCAAAACGGACATTAATTAGTAAGTGAAAATACCGTTGATGTGATGATGAACGAAACTGATTCCGACGAGCTGCGGAATATCGTTCAGAAATTACTGACCATAATAGAAAGGCATGCAAAAGTGCCGGCTACGAATATGAACAACTAAATCTAAAATCGAAATTAAAAACGAAACGAAACCTTGAAAACATGAAAAGCTTCGAACTGTATACTGCGACTCTTCTCTTTGAGCATATTCATCATGAGTTTGAGGTTATCTGGATTACTGATATAACGTGTCATCACAGCAAAATTATGACGATCCAGCAATAATTCACCCAATAACTGAACATATTTTTGAATATATTAGCATTCATACATCATCCTGTGAAGCAAATATACATACACATCAAAACGAATGATGAACCAATGAACCTTGAGTGATTGCCTCCTCGTAACATAATTCTCGGAATTCAACAAATTCTGATAACACTCGAAGAACTTATCATAATTCGTCTCGAGAAATTCAGCGCAAAGCGCTTTATGTTTTGTTATTAATTCCTTGAAAGTTGAGAACGCATCTGATGCAATATCAAATGTTGACACCTGCAAAGTATTCACTTTTCTTTTTTTAATCAACCATTTTGCATGACTTCATTCAACTTGCTGATTATATTGACTACTTAATGCTACTCATATTGGATAGGCTTTAGGTCAATACCTAAGATGCTATTCAGTGGAAGTAATAATGAATAAATGCAACAAGAAAGAAGATAAGCGTCAACCTCAACATATTGAAAGAAATTATAGAATATGGCATGTTGTAAGATGATTTTCGCGAGATGTTCGTGCCGAATACACTCCCTCAGCATACTTCCACAAGTCACCGCTATATCAGCTGCTTCGTAACTGAACACCAATTTTTATCATTATTTTTCACACGCATTCCAAGTTGGAAAACTCACAAAATGATCAATCCCTACGGAGAAAATACACGAATTACGTGAAATATTATCAAGAAATGTTGAAGGTGATCAATAAATACAACTTCTGAAAGAAACAAATTCCCCCTTGCTGATATCGCTAATCAACTGCATTGAATGACAGCATCAAATACGACAAGATCAGTGTAACCATAAACAACCAAATTACCCATGAACAAGTGTGATGAGCATATCAGGTCTAGCACATAGATATTCGACGGTTGGTGATCGCGTTCCGATTTGTCTCCGTAACAAATTGTTGAATATCAGTGCGACATCTTTCTTCGCTTCGAAATCCAATTTCGATAGGTTTTTGATCAGCATCGGTAATACATTCGCGTTATACGTTTCTTGTGCTAATTGTGCAACCTGTAAAAATTATATCATCTAATAATATCTAAACGTCATTCATTCACTGCTGTGGCATTTCACTACTATTTTACTGAAACTGTTGGGATTGATTTAAAAAAAAAGGAATTTAAGGATGTGATGACCACCTGTTCGGTATGCGGTTCTTGGCCCTCTTGTCCATAGATGATTCCTTTGACAGCTTGTAACCACCTGTTCACTTCTTCAGCTGCCTTATCACTTTTCTTATCACCCTTCTCGATTACAATCAACGACTCCTTCAGATTCTTTACAATATCCGGTGGTGACTTGTGTGATTTGCCAAACAGAGGCAAAGGCATTTCAAGATTTTATCACCTACAAATTATTTCGATTGTTCATTCAAACATTTCATCAATAATACATTTTATTTGACACCAATTTTCGAAATTCATATCACGCATAGAACGGAAACTTGATAGCATTAAGCAGCAGCATGACTAAGATACTGCATTTGTGCTCACTTCAATTCTTTCATCTAACAACCCCATTTTCCTTGAAATGAAACACTTGAATTTGCGTTAACACATGCTTATTGTTAGCAGAAAGCATCGAGCGAATGCGCGTCTAAATTAATTTTCTACGACCATTTTCTCAGCACACAAATCAATTACGTCCCCTTCGGATTCAACTGATTCCAGAAAAACCTTCACAATTTGATGACATCTCACTCACTTAGATTCATTTCATACACTGCATTGCACGATCGATTTCCTAGTGAAGTAACTGATTGATTTTAAATACAGTATTAATACTGAAGATTTTAATAATAATATTGGCAATAAATAAAAATAATTAATATTACTCTTATTATCATCATCACCATTTATTATAATTGTTATAAATATTACTATTATTAATTCACACACAACGTGAATAATTTCCACTGAATACAAATCAACCCGCCACACACCCAACACAACACCGCTATTGATTCGTGCAATTACGAGTGCTGCAGCGGCTTCAATTCACAACAAATTTCCAAATCCCCTACACATCATATTCAATTGTCGCACAATACGTATTTGTATGTTTATAAATGCCCACAGATACTTATCAATCAATAAATCAATCAACCAATCAATAAATCAATCAGTTCAGTATTAACCAGCTTCAACGATAAAACTAAAGCAAATTACAACTAACAACTGCAGTGACTTTAATAACGCAACATTTAACCATACATACTTCAAAACACATAGTGTCATCATTTATTGGCTGCATTACAAAATAACTCAATCTCAATTTCATAAAATGAATCGATATCCGCAAACACACTAAAAGCACCATTAAGCCACTCAATCCATTTCGAACTATTCCAAAACGTTTCCATTTCTTAACGTTAAAATTTATAGATAATAGCCGAGTAGACGTTTGAATGTAATGGAAAACATAATCAAGCGTGGAGCGAGTTCATTTTCAAGTGCGTGTTTGAGGTTTCAGACGAAAGAATTACACGACGACGATTTTTCCGATTGAAATAAGCCCTATTAAATTGATAAATGGAACTTTGAAGCGTAGCTAAAAAATAATGAATTTGCTGATAAAAGATTTAAGAGCAGTGTAACGATCACAAACAACACTAACACATCACGATACTACTAACGAAGAATTGCAAAAATATGAAAGACGTTCGCTGCGGGAATTAATGAAGACAGAATGATGAGAAACGAAGGATGGATGGATGATTTTTTTTTTGGAGAGAGAAGCAGGCGTGCAATGATTCACTGGAGTGTCACTGCATTCAATTGTTTCGCATACCTCTCGTCGTCATTCGATGTGCTGCTGCTGCTGCTGCTGCTGCTGCTACTTTAGTTCAAAAATATAATTAACAATCAATCATTTGCACTATCAGTTTACGATCGCTATGAAACAATCAAAAAGGAATTTTGAGAAATTGCACAAACTGTGACACAGAACGGAATGTTGAAATATCAATACAGCAGTAGTGATGAACTGTTATGACTGCTGCTGAACATTTGTTTAAAATGGTGGTTTCATTTGGAAATGTGCTTTCGATAATCAAGAAATACGATGACGTGAGCATATAAGAGAGGACATCTAGATGGGAAGAAGACGAATTCAGCGTTACAATGACGCGAAGTTATTCTATGAATTCACACACACTAACAATTCGTTCTTTGCCAAATAACAACAATCGGTCGAATGCGGATGCAAAAGATACTAACAATAAATATTTGAAGAGAACAAAAAAAAACAATCACGAAACAACCAAAATTCTATTTGAACAATCGAATGGAACAACCTTGAATAGAGTGTGAATAAACATGTCCCCTCTCTATACTCCAAATTCACTCCATACAAACCAAAACGGTCGCAAAATATGCAGAAATCTGATTCACAAATATTCATTTCAAATAACTAAACTTTCGCAGTAATCCAAAAACCGAGTCACATAATATGGCACGTCTCTAATGCACAAGAAAAGTCGTACTCGTATCGATTCATGAAAGCAAAGAAGAAAGCGTAAAAAAGAGAGCACGTTATCAATAAAACAGCACGATGAATGCATGTGAAATATCTTCTTCATACAAAA